ACTGAATTCAGGGGGCGCCCGTGGATCACGGGAGACGAAAGGTCTGGCGAATTCATGTGGAAAAACCGACGTTGACGACCAGGCAGCTTTTGGAGCTCAAAGTAATGGGGACAAAGTACCATCCACTGTTGCTCCCAGTGGTTTACCCGCGAGTGATATCAGTAAAGATTTTGTAAAGATATGGGTGATGGGCTATGATGAGACTGAGCAATCGTCTGGTGTCAAAGAGTCTCGCAGCATGGAGGACCCTAATAACGGCTGCGACGGAGACTAGGAAGCATCCCAAAAGATTGAAGAAGTGAAGCGTCATCAACGAAAGCTGTCGGTTTCAAGTTGATGGAGGTCTTTTCCAGACCCTCAGAAATGCACTCCATCAAAGAAGGCTGTCTTTGATTTCATTTTGGAGGAATATAACGGTACCGCGTCCTTTGTTGCAATCTCAAGTAGACAAGATCTGTTTCCTGTCGGATGTGAGGATATCGCAGCGTGGTTGAAAGCGAGAAAGGACAGCTTTCTTCTACGGGAAAGTAAAGAAGGAAAAATCTTAGAGGTGAACTCCTTTTGTCAAAGGGCCCAGTTGTGTTTTAGACCGGTTTGTTCGACAAAGGATTGTCCATACGTGCACGTGTGCAGGGACTATATCGCTGGATTTTGCAGATTTGGGGAAAGATGTCAAAGAAACCACAGTTTCCAATACGACGATGATCGAAAACTCCTTTGCAAGCTCAGGTTGAATGGTTTGTCAGAAAGTAACCTTCGTAAAGTGATGCAGCTGTCAATATCGATGAGGCCATCAACAAATGCCGTTTACAAATTATGTTTACAGCTCTTTAACATTGGTCTGAACTAGGTAACTAATTATAAGGTAGGTCTGAAACAGGGTATTGCTTTAAAAGTTAGGTCATAAATTAGGGTTTCAAATTTTTCGTCGGGTCTAAATACCGCAGGGAAAATCGCAGATTTTGGTTATAAATAGGGTCTGGGAGGCGGGCCGCACAACCCCACCAATTTTTTTTCTGGGAGTACCCACCCCGGAGGCAAGGTACGATAAGGTACGGTTTCAAAAGCTAAAGGAAAAGGAAATAACTACAACGAATATAAGGAATATCTAGAGCACACACAGGAATATGGCTACACTTACGTCTGTGTCCTAATCCGTTAATCCGTGACAATAAACCTTGAAATACCTTGATACAAACCTTGAAACACCAGCATAAACTTTTCTTTACTAGCATAAACTTTTCTTTGCAGCGCATCGAGGGGGAAAAACGACAGCGATGAGTGACATCACGCAAAAACTCGCGGAAATTAGCTTAACCGCAGTAACAGCTTGCCAACGTGTACACCAATATCTGCAGCAGAGGAGTAAATAAACAAAGCAGGTGCCTGTACTTGGCGCTCAGTGAACACGACACCCACGGACAAAAGAATTCATAACACAAAGAATAACACTCGAAGAAACCGATAAAACCAGGCTAACATTTGGGATATACTTACTTTTGCTCCATCCGCGTTCTCTACGACAAGCAAAAGTTCCAGGTGGGCAAAAAATCCTCAATACTCTTTAGTGCTCAATGCTCCCGTTTGCAAAACTTTGAGATATTTTGGAAACTCGTTTGCACTGTACAGGCCCGCAAATGATCCCCAGATTCCCAGGACCGGAAATGATCCCCAGATTGTACCGTAAATGATCATGGACCGAAAATGGTCGCCTCGCCATAATGTGAGGACTCAGGAATTTAGACAGTGGATTTAGAATTTATAATATCGATTTTTTTATTACTGTGGAACTCAGAAAACCGTGAACATTTGGATTTGATTCCAAAATTTTGACTGAACTAATCACAACAAAGTTCAAGACACGCGAGAAAACTTTAAAAGCACAACCAATTACCGCTGGTGTTTGCGATTTAGTTTTCTCACGCTTAATTGGCTTTGTCCTTAATACACAATAATCTTCCTTGAATATTTCTGAGTTTCACAGTGATAATACAATATTTTGATACAACAGTTACTATATGTAACGCAAGCAAAATGTGCAGTATGAACGATTTAAATGCAAATTTCATAACTTTATAAATAATACCAAACGTCACGAAATCCTGTGTTTGAAATTCGCAGTTTAGCTAGGTGTAGGTCCTTCCCTGAATGACTTTATTGGGTCTGGGCCTGAGTATGATAACACAGGGTATTCACTATAACCTCAAATTTGGAGACAACTGAGAATTCCCTAGTGGATTGACTACATTTTCGCGTAGCTTTCGGGACAGAGGAGATTATTGACAGTAAAAAAAATTGCACGAGCAAAAGCGACAGCTCTACTCGTGCGGCATGCAAATAAATCTATCTAAATGACACTGCGGTAACTCGCAATGAAGGAATCTTGTGCACTTTCATGGGAGCCCGTGGCTATCTAGCACGTAAGTATAAGAGGTGTACAGGGAAAAGTTCTAAGCGGTTAATTAGATAGCAGAGGCATCTTCGAAGATTCATGTTTCTTTTTGCAGTACGTTTCCTAAACGAAAAATTTATACAGTCGACACATGTCAATTTGTATTTTGCGCCGTTTTTTTTATCGCAGCTTTTATGCCTGAGGTTTTTGTCTTTTCTTCACCTAGGGTAATCATAAAAATAGGTCCGCAATGCGAACTTGTGTGGAATTTCACTCAAATAAAAGTTGATGCGATATGGATAAATCAGAGAAATTGTAGCTTTACAGTGAATATTTTTACATTTTGTCATGTAGTGATGAATGTCGAGTAAAGATACCGTACAGTCCTGGTTATAAGACCTCAAGCTGCAGACGAAAAAAACGGTTAAAGGAGAAACTTGTTTGGACTTAAGTTTCCAGGAAATTTTCTCTCTTAAGGCTAGGTTACACGGGGCTCTTTTTACCTTGGTAAATGACCCTTGTACCACGGGAAACTGCATTTAGTGAGTATGAGCAATATTTCCGGAGGTAAATTTCCCGTGGTTAATACCCATATATACGTCAAAAATATCACATGCAGCGCCCTTGGCATTTAATGTGGTAAGTTGCAATGGTGGTTCGGAGAGCAAATCACGATTCTCTGTTTGGCATTACTACCTAACCGAAAAGGAAAAATGTTTTTCCTTCATATGCCATTCTTGTTACCTTGGCAAAATCCCGTGTAAA